AGACTTCTCAATCTCCAAATAATCGGGAGAGCGAACCAAAGACTTGGAACACTCTCTTTTTCATCGCAAGAGATGTTGTGTTTGAAAGAGGTTTGAATAAGGAGCGTTGGAAATAGATGACAATTGCTCGAAGCATAAGAAAGGCTTCTTAGTCTCCAAGTAATCGGGAGAGCGAACCAAAGCCTTGGAACACTCTCTTTTTCATCGAAAGGAAAGTTGTTTGAGCTTGAAACGATGTTTGGAATGATAAGTACTTGAAGGATAGTTGAACAATGGTAGAATGTTGTCGAGTTTGTTAATGTTATTTAAAGGCGTCAATTGCTCATACACGAATAAGATAACTCGCGTATAAACAACCGAAAGCAAGATCAAAGACTTGAACCCACTCTTTACACCTTGAAAAGAATTAAATAGTTGTTAATTGATTGATATTTGTTACGAAAATCCGCTTGACGTTGGATCAAGGGTTTGACTCATTATCGCGTGCAAAGCGTATTGGAAATGAAATGGTTTAAAAAAAGATCGACTTGACTTACGCATCAATGGTCGATTTATGAGGTTGATGGCGAATGCGTACGAGCACTCGACTTACGGGTTGTCTGAAAATGGCTCGATGATGAATCGAGAATTAGTTTGAAAATAGTTTGATCCGCCCTAGTCCCTATGGGCGCCTAGGTGATATACTAATAATCAAAGAAATGCGAAACATACATCGGAGTGGGAGAGGGGTACATGTAATTTACACGGGATTGCACGAAATAAAAGGGTCTCATTGTAAGGTAGCCCAAGAGAAAGCCGTGTGTGTGCATTGTGTCCTAAACTACGCCTTGAGCAAAGTCGGGCACGACTCGAAATTAAGATACCTGCAAATGACCAATGATACAACAGTCCACCAATTCGGCTTTTAACGGTTTCGATAGTTTATTATATATTTTCGAATATGGGTGAAATAAATATGAATAAATATGAATAAATATGACATGATAATAATAATATGAATAAATAATGTGACAATATGAATAATAATATGTTAGTATAAATATAACAATAAAAATAAATAATAATAATTATATGAGTAAATATGAATAATATAGTAAGATAAAATAACAATAATATCCACAATAATATTTGACAGAAATTAAAGTTAGTGGTTAGTTTAACGAAATAAAATCGAAAGAACAGAGGTGGTCTCGGATCCTTTGTTTCACGCCACTAATGTGACGGTTAAACGGTGGAAGTTTCGTCATCGACCGAAAATAAAAAAAAAAGGTAAAATAAAATGCTTAAAAATAAAGGAGAAATAAAAAAATAACCCCAAAACATGTAAACTCTAAACTTAAAAAGAAAATAAGATTTTATAAAAAAGTGAGATCAAAATATTTTCCTTAAAAAAAAAAAAAATTATTGTTTGAAATTTACTTTGAAGGGCTGGTGGTGCAGATGCTAGGAAATGGGTGATGACTATAAAACAAATAGAGTCCTCGTGGGCTCAAAGCCCATTCGTCTATCCCAAACAGACCCAGCGACCACAGTTAAACACCACCAAAAGGGGACTCGTCTTTTTGACATAATCAAGATAAGCCCACATCACAAAACAAAATAATAGGGTCATCAATAACATCAGTATCCCCGTTGAAAAGTAATAAATTATTTTTAGAAACAAACCAAAGGAGAAGTGACCGCTCAGCTCTCTTTACCATCATCAGGTTTCATTAAATTAATTAAAAAAGAAAAGGAAAGAGTCAAACGTAAAACTAAACGACCACCATCAAATCCAGAAGAAAAACAAATCGTGAAGATTAAAACAACCTTCCAACTCGTTCACACTTCAGTCACTATCTCCTCTCACTTGCTCAGGTTCTTCTTTCATTTTTCTTGGTTTAGTTGTAGTAAAGGGTTTGTTGAGATTGAAGATTGGGTATTTGAAAGGAATGGGTTTCGGTTTGAATAAAGAAAGATTGACAGGGTGAAAGTCTGTTAGTGAAGATGGTTTATGTTTTTTTGAGATTTTACTGAAGGAGGTGGGTTGTAGTTGTTTTAAAGTTACATTGAAATCTGAAGAATGGATGAAGAGGTATTGGTTTTTTTGTTATTTGATTCGGAGAGAGTCCAAGAAGAGGAGATTTCGAATGTTTCCTAGTTTTTTTGACGGTGAAGAATCAAGGGTAAGAGGTTTATGAAGAAAGGGTTTTTGAAGGTTTTCTCAAAGCTATTGTTGTTGGGCGAAGAAGGTTGGAAGGGATTGGTTTCTGAAGATGTTTTTTTTTTTAGAAGAAGAGAGTAGAGGGAAATTTTAAAGTAGATGACGGCTAGGGTTTGGAGGCTCTCAAGCCTTCCCCCCTCTCTTGAGCTCCGCAAGCAGAGGGTTTTTATGCAAACTCTAGAGGGTCTTCTCAAAGCATGGTGGGCCGTGTGGAATGACTCCCACTCCAACTCCCCTTTTGTCTGTAGTGAGGTAAAAAAAACTTCAACTGATTTTCACTGCGGTAACTCCCTTTTTTTGCTTTTTTACTGTGGTAATTAATTTGTAACTTCATTTGCAGGAATATGATTTTGAGAGGTGGTAAATAACAACTCATGTATTTTCTTTCAATGTTCATGCTTTGCTGACATCTTTTAGCAGGTAATATAAATCACACTTCATCTCATCCCTCTTTTTGAATTGATGCCTAAGCATATCACTCTGCATTGTGATTCTTAAATGGAATGATTTTTTCTCTGGTGTGAATGTTTGCTGCAGGCCTCAATCGCGTAGCATTTTGTCGCACACGAGTTACTTTTTCAGTTGTGAATATTTTGCACTGATGGTGTGGTGGTGGCAGTATATATATAGGTATTGAAGATGCCGGTTTTATAACTTCGAGAAGTTCACGCCGGCCTGTCCATCATGGTATTATGCTATGTTGCCTTCATTTGTCAATTTGCAAATTTGTACATAACGGTGGTTGTTGATGCATTGTAAAACACTTTGCAGGTTTCTCATTAAGTTCTGTTATGCACTTATACAGGATGGTTGGTGTATATGCTCGCAATTGGTGACCGTGCGGAATGCGCACCACACATTGTGCTGTTGCTGCGGTATTTGAAAAAAAACAAGTTGTGCGTTGCAAACGAGAGAAAATGGAGGGCTCTGCAGAATTGGAACAGGTCTTGCTTACTGGCTGTGTCGATGATGGACCAACAAAATTGTGCGGTTAGTACAGCTTTAACACAAGTTGTGAGTACGACATGGCAGGTTGTGTGCGTTGCTGCTACTGGTATTGCATTGTCTAGCTCACTCATTAATTTTTTTGTTGAAATTTCTTGTCATGAACTAGTATCACGGGCCTGTGGCCTTTTGGATTATGGCCGACATTTACTGTGAGCTTATATTATCTTTTGTGTATGTGCAGGTCTGTTGGTTATTCACAAGGTGCCATGAACGATCATTGCGGTAACGTTTTGTTAAAGGTGTGGGTAAATGGGCATTTTCCATTGACTCGATAGAGATCAGGTACAATGATACGATCTTTTCTTTTGAACTTTCCTTTCTACCCCTTTTCACGAGCTGAATCCATTTCCAACTTCTCTGCCTTTCCTCCATCATATTCACAGCACGAGGATGCTACCATGTCCTCCTCAAAGCGAAGATGCACAACAATATATTTTCCATCTGTCCTTGAGCTCTTCTTAATCATTCGGTGAACCAGATTCTCAACTAGTGCTGATATTGAAGAACAAAACCTCAATGCTTTAAAATTAGTAAGACATCTCAGAAATTGAATATGTGGAGGGATAATCTTGCCAAGCGATTAGCAAATGGGGTTATTCGAAGAACCCCTTCCTTTTGCAAGATAAGGTAAACAGCTCATGTGTAATAACTGACTGGAGCCCAAGCTTGAACTTTGATGGTAGTTATATTACTCATATTGTAATTATGTTTCTCCATTATTGCCTCAGGAAGTTCTTTAACTACCTTCTCATAACCATTAAATGTGGAAATAAAATGATCCTCATCATATATATTCCCAAATTTACTTGGATCTTTCCACACATTGTGAAATTCGAAATGAGGTATAACTAGAATTGCATTCAGGAGTCCAGCAACAGCCACAGCATTGCAAATTGCAGAGCGTTGCTGATTAAGACCGCCATTGGCCTCGACAATCAAAAACCATTCAGGCCAGGGGACACAAAATGTTCATGATGCAAAGCAGTCAAATTCGAATAAGGCTTCTTTTCTCTCAACTTCCTTTTGTATTTCATCTTCATTGAACTTTTTCATCTTCCGCCCTGTTCTGGCAATAATCTGAATTCATACGGGTTCTGCTGCAGGTACAGGCCTCGGCAATGCTTTGTGATGAAACTTTTAATTTATCTCTTATGCTGGTATTGCGTAATTTTACGGTTTGGAAGGATTTGCTTTTGCG